GTTTAGTTTTGTAAATTTAAAAAATATATATTTTAACATGGATGGAGCCATTTTTGTTTACACACAAAGCATTCTGGGTAAATGATGACGTGGATAGGTCCTCGGTGTGAGCAAGCTACAGTATATCCACCCTGAAGGTTAATCTTGGACAATATCTGATGATCGACTCTTTTAAATGAGAGCGTTGACAGAGAGGAGAAGGCACAGTTTCCCTGTGTTTGGTGGAAAGCATTCCACTAAATACGGATTTCTGAACTTTTCCTTAGTTCAAATATTAGAATTGTTGTTTCTAAATGAATATGAACTTGCTTCCTGTGCATTATTTGTGGTCTGAAATCTCTGCATCTTTGTCGTCATTTTGACGAATTCTCATTTTCTGCAAATAAACACTAAATTTTTGCTTGAAATTTCGGAGACATGTTATCAGTTATTCATAGAATAAAATAACAATGTTCATTTTACTCAAACATATACCTATTAAAAATTAAATCATTGAAACTGATCATTTTAAAGTGGTCTCTTTATTTCTTCCAGAGCTGGGCATATAAGGTGTTAATCACTTTTCTGAGCAGTACCAYCAACTAATGATTTTAAAGTTTTAGTATTTTCCCTGAGTGTTAGAAAAGCTATTTTCAAAACCAGATGGGAAATCCAAATCTGAGGAACTGCTCATGATATCAAGAAGATTTGGTATCAAAATAACACTTAAAAAGTCATAAATCTGATTTATTTAGTTCAATCAAATATGATCACTTACTTGATGTGATATTTGACAAAATCCAGTTTAAGCTAAATGAAAGCAAATTTTTTTAGAAAAATAAGTTCTAAGGTACAACTTTTTCATTGCATCACAGCTTCTTTCTTTACACGTCTCAAGACAATTTTGTCCTTCAAACGTTCTTTTCAGGAGAGTTTTGTTGGATGAGTAAATCCCAGACTAAATTTTAAATATTTCTCAAGATGTTTAGTCTTTTAGAACGCTTTACCAATTAGAGTGCTAATTTTAATAAWATATTTGTAAGACCTGCTCTTATATACTGGTTTATTGTCTCCGTATGATCTCACAGTAAAACCATCAGTGCAATACAGATTTTGTGAGGAAACTTTCTCTATGTCAACATAATTCTGCATGCAGCCATGTCTAAAACTAACAGACATTAACTACTTAGATTTCATTTTCATCAAATACATGGAACTTTCAGATGAAATGAAAATAAAACATTCGATCAGACCTTTACATGGCTGAAATGATTTTTCAAAAAGGTTTGGCACACTGTGGCGAATGTGACCTGAAGAAAAGAATGAAGTTTGACTGAGCCAAAGACAGCAAACTTAATGACAGTAAAAGAAAGAAAGAAAGAAAGAAAGAAAGAAAGAAAGAAAGAAAGAAAGAAAGAAAGAAAGAAAGAAAGAAAGA